TGCCAATAATCAAAATAACAAAACAACACAATGTTAACATGGAAAATAAACCGCACAGCATAAAACACACAGTGGACGACGTACCTTGGCCTCATTGCTGACCACTGGTTTGGGTTGGAACTGTACATCTGTGGCTTTGAGGATCGTGTTCTCCTCTAGTATGGTCGCTTGACTTTGGTTGTGACCAAACGGTTTTTTTCCATATAGGCACTGGTAAAATATCACTCCCACGGACCACACGTCGACCTTACTAGAGATCTTGGGTGGAGTTTTGCCTACAATGAAGCACTCTGGCGGAAGATACCTAAGGGAGGAACACACGGGCTTAGGAAAACTGTTTTTAACAAAGGTAATGATTAAGTCAACCAAAAAAATTATTCTGAATGTAAGGGGTAGGTGTAATTTTAATCATAATAATAAAATCACTAAGAAACAAAGATCTAAACATCATACAAATATAGAGTTCTAGCAGTGATTATAATAATACAGACATGGAAAAGTTTAACTGGAAAATAAACAGTAATTTGAGTGTAATAGTAATGACAATGCTAATGCCAAATGTGAAAACTGATTAACAAATAAATATCATTATTAAATTTGCTCTTGGAAACAGTCTTGACTTGAGAATAGAAAATAATAACTGGAATACAGTGCAAAAAGATAAATTATAAATCTCTTTCAACATTACCAATATCAAAGACAGTAATATCATAAACTAAAATGAATAAATAATAACACTTGGAAACACTCCAAATCAAAGTGCAAAGTGCAAACAAATCCTAACCTTAGAATACACCAATCTATAAATATCCATGGACTTAATAATTTGACGTCAGATCGCTACTCACCAGTACGTGCCCGCCCCCTGAGAGGTGAGGTCCATCCCGTAGTCAGGATGGTAACTATCCTCATCCATGACTTTACTAAGACCAAAATCTGTGATCTTGACCTCCCCAAGAATATTTCCATCAGTCAATAAGATATTTCCTGTAGGAGAAAAAGGAAACAAAGTGGTAATTGAAGAGAAAATGCCCAAAGGAAATAAAGTTATGAGAAGAGAAACCACACGACAAAATAAGGAATAATAGTGAAAGAAACTGCGTCAACTGTAAAAAAATATTACAAAGACAAGTAGAGGAAAGAGAATCCTGGATGGTTTGAAATACATTTTTCCTCATATCTTGAGTCACATTAAGCACATATAAAAGAATCATTCCCTGAGGATAAGATATATTTTTTCAAAGACACGGAATCTTTAGATTTTCTGACAATGCCAGAACATTTACAATTATAACACTGGCAACGCAACAAAACATACAATATCATCAGTACCAGGGAGTATTTATATTGTTTGAAAAATTAGGATAAGATACATTTAAATAAACTTCCACTCAACTTACCTGGCTTAAGATCATAATGAATGATTGGTGGTTTGATCTCATTCAGGTACTTGAGCGCAGATACCACCTGCATGATCACTGATCTTGCTTCTCGCTCGGGGATAGTCTTGTGCTATTGCGGAGTTAAGCATATGGTTAATATTTTTCATCTATACAAATAAGATTTCAAAGCAGCTTATCTCTAATGAGCAAATCATTAACATATCTGGTAATACATCAGCCCAAAAATAAAACAAATTAATTTCTGGAATTGTAATCAAATTTTCTTTATTTCTCATTATGTACATTAACTGAATCTGTCATCCAACTTTCTTGCTGCACTGTATATATCTGTCACAGAGCAATTCTTCCATGAATTCATTCTATGTATCAAATAAGTCACGAGGTTCCTAGTAAACACATTTTTCCTATACTCTATTTCTTATACTCAACAGATTATTCCAAATCTAAGGATTCCACTTAATTAAAATCAATGCAAATAAAGAAATAACTACAAAGTCTTTTTCAAAATAATTCAGAATCATTCATTCAGTTTTATATTTAGCAATACTATAGATGCAACAACAACAAATACTTTACTTTTCTTACCTGTTTTAAGTAGAAGTCAAGGTCATGACCATCACAGTATTCAAGGACAGTACAAAAACTATTTGCATCTATCTCAAACACGTCATAGAGTTTAACTATACGAGGATGGTTTAATTTCTTCTGAATATTGTACTCTCTTATGGCATGTCTGTGGAAATAGAACGAATCCAGTTATATCATTCAAAATATACATATCAATCATGCTTTAATCATCACAACTTTATATGGTTATATCCTGCACCAAATCACTTTCAAATCTTACTTGATATAATTAGCCTTTTTGTCATCTTTCCAGTCCTTGTTCAATTGGTGAACTTTGCACGCTACGTAACGCTGTTCCTTTAGGTCAAATGCCTGTAAAGCCAAAAAAGTTATGAAGAACTGACCAATCACCATATTGCACACATAGTGTAATACATGCCTACACTGACAGTGCCAGAATTTTCTGTGAGGCACTAATTCCAGCAACTACTGGCATCTGTCTAGTCTTTACACCACAGAATTTGATGTGTACAGCCAGCCCTCCCCGCTTGCCTCTCCAAAGCGAATCATGATACCCACAGATGTACCAATCAGGAAGAGTAGGTTTTCCATGACTACTATAGGTGTGCCCGGCTATATGAGTGAATGAGTGAGCGAGTAAGTATGAGTGAGTGAGAGTGAAGTGAGTGAGTGAGTGAGTGTGAGAGTGAGGAGAGAGAGAGAGAGAGAGAGAGAGAGAGAGAGAGAGAGAGAGAGAGAGAGAGAGAGAGAGAGAGAGAGAGAGAGAGAGAGAGAGAGAGAGAGAGAGAGAGAGAGAGAGAGAGAGAGAGAGAGAGAGAGAGAGAGAGTGAGTGAGAGTGAGAGTGAGAGTGAGATGAGAGTGAGAGTGAGAGTGAGTGAGTGAGTGAGTGAGTGAGTGAGTGTTTGTGTGTCTGTCTTTGTTGGGCATATACAATAAATTGTGTTGCATATGCCAAGTGTACCTGTGTATATATTTTTGCATGTGTCAACTTTTATGAATGTGATTTGCTCTAACCAGTGTATCAACTGGTGCAATAAGTATCATCACAAGTATCAGATAAAATATTCTTCAAACATATCTGCAAAAATATTCATTTATAATCATATGACAAAATGCAAAATGAACCTTACCTTATGAACCTCTGAAAACCCTCCTTTTCCTAATAACATGAGCAACAAGTACCGGTCATTTAGCACGGGATGGTTGTTGAACCTGCAACACAGACATTACACCGTCAATGGAATTTGCTAAAGCAACCACAAACTTTCTTTCAACAACACCAAAAAGCAAACATGGTCGTCATGAAATTATTCCCAAGAATATACAATGGGCCAGGTCCTGTCACATCTTTTCATGGTAAATCATACTGACTTCAAGAAAACCTATGGCAAGAGGGACAAACTGCATTGGGTTAATTCCCCTAATTCTCTCTGTGTTAAAGCAAGATTATCTTCATCATCAACTAGTTACATAGAGCTCTTTCAAGCCTGCTACCTTACTGTTACTGTTAGGATAGATCACGTTACTCTGGCTTGGAAAGTTATACTACAAGTGAGAAGGTTGAGTGCTTACTCTGTTAGGGGTTTAGAAAGATGCAAACATCTAGCAGCTTGGTTGAAACCACCAAACCACCGCCTGAGAAAGAGCCAGGTTTCAGCACACACTCCCAGTTCTAAGAGGGCAATTTATCAACACCAAGAAAGACCTACTTAGAAAGATGCCCTTCTTTCATGATTCTAAAAATGGAGCATGGAAGGATATACCATTACAAACTCCCACCAAAAGAATCTTCTGGAATAGACATGCAAATGTGGCCTAGGCCACTCATGACTAACAAATGTACAGTTTTAGTGTCAGTACAAAGTCCATTATAGAAAAGTATTATCTGAGTATCAGCAATGGTTATCATAATAGTATTCTTTATTGCTTGTATATATGAAATGCAGTATGAACCTGTTAAAAATTCAAGTAAATAAGTAAGAATTCATCCATACTGATTTACTCTTGTTGACTTACAAGGATACATGCTCAATTATATTGTCCATGTTGAATCAGCACTAAGCACACACGCACGCACGCAGGCACACACACATGAACACACACGCACGCATGCACACACACAGACACACACACACACACAAAAGCACGTACGCAAAGACAACACACAACCACTTCAAACATACTTTTATACAAATATGGACACCCACACATATGCCTGAAAATGTTTTGTGGCAAACAAAACAGTATCTGTAATTTCACTCACTCACACTAACACACACACACACACACACTGATACACACCTGCATGCATACAGATACAGAGGGAATCCGAGGGCTTAAGCATCCCTCAACGGGTGCCTCAACTAGGAAACTGAAAACCTTTTCAAAATAAGAATAGTTTAGACATTTCAAGTTATTTTACCATTACATAAAACTGCACCCAATCTTGTCTGTTCAAAATAACTATACGATTCCCCTTAAGCATTGTATCACTTGAGAAAAGCTTTCAATGTCAACATATTAAGGTATCTTTCACAATAAAAGGATTTTTTTTTTTTTCTTTTCTTTTTTTTCTACAATGAAATAGTCAATATTTTTGTGTGCTACTGCTATATCTTTACTATAATAATCATCCTTTAAAGTGGATACATTTCAAATGGAAATTTTTACATGACTTTGAGCAGTTATTTTCAATTTCAATCACAAATATGAAAAACTTAAATGAGTAGAAATATCTGCAATATGTTCCTTAAATGTCTGTAGGAATACACAGACAATCTCAATGAATGCTTGCACTCAAAATAATCTTATTTCTAACACATTTTTCCCTAAACGTTGATTTTCTCCACTGCTGCTGAACATTTCTTCCTGACTGAACTTGAAAGGATTTCTAATACGTTCTTTAAAAGACAGGAAGACCCTGTATGCACACATTCGTTAAGCACACTCACTTACGTAAGTGTGAAATGCTAACAGACACAAAACTATTTTGGGAAAAGATGAGAAAGAAAGAACAAAAAAAATAATGCTAAACCTAAATTTTAAAAACAAAGGAATGAATTAACAAAAAATCTCCTCTTCTATATCTATAATTAATCCATTCAAAGTCGGGAAAAACTTTAAACTACAGTTTGGCGAGGCCAGGATGCCGAAGCATGCACCACTCTACAACTGGGCTCATTGTTTGGCTTGTCGTGGGGCTCCTGAAGTGAAGCTTTTGCCTTCATGTGACCTGGTAGACGGAGGTTGTTTTTGCTTTCATGTGACAGGACATCACCTGGTAAAATTAAGGTTCAGCTTTCTAAAAACGACCATTAAAATAGAAAAAGTGACATTTTCTCCTGTAAAAGATTTCTAATAGTAAAATCACATCCTTATCTAGGAAATCAAAGCAATGTCCACTTACAGCTATTAATATAAGTAAACAAAAGTAAAAGCAAACTTCAGCACAAAATGTTGAGAAATTTCTTGAAAATGAATGTCATGACAGTTCCTTTTCTTTTCACTTTTGGTTTCCTTCTTCTTTCTTTTTTACAGCAAATTATTTAATCAATGTCACAGCAAACACGTCATCTGTTACCTGTCTTTACTTCCAATTTCAATCAGTCAATCTGCTACTAAGTTCTGATTCTTGATTTCTAACTGGTAATTTCAATCATATCAATCAGCATGAACCAATGATCACATCTTCACATTTTCCCCATTGAGTTTCAGTTACTCTCTAGTTTAATTCTGTGGCAAAGGGTGAATCTCTATCATGTCAAAGTAAAAAATCCCAGATGCTATGTGACACCTCATCCTATCAATGAGTCCATATCCTAACTGCGAGGATGATACTTTGACTGGCCACTCACCCTCCTACCCACCCACCCACCCACCCTCCCACCCTCCTCCCTCTCTCCCTCCTCCCTCCCTCCCTCCCTCCCTCCAGCTGGACAATTACCCAAGAACAAAGAAGGGTACACTAATAAACACCCATCCTCATCTAACTTCCAAAATATTTTTACTGGTCATATTTGGGTACGAGTAAGCAAATGCATTATCTCAGCATAATACGTTTTGTTATCCCTCATTTTTTACTTGAAGTACACGTTCCAATCACTTCTACAGCGTAATATGGGGCCAATTATATAAATCTTAATATGCTAAAAAGATGTAATGTTCTCAACAGTAACATCCATGTTAATGTCTCATAATAATAAAAATACGGAAATTGCAACAGGGAAGACAAGAAAATATAAAGAAGTACCCATGCTGAAGTCCCATGTACACCTTGAAAAATTTGTTAGTTGATTAAAAGTGAGCACCAAGCCAAGAAGAAAAATAAGATAAACCAAGAAGGAGATGAAAAAACTACGAGAAAATTATATACATAAAAATATACTTAAAATTAAACAAACACACCTACCCGTATTTTAAGATAATGTCATATGATGTGAAAACCTGTTGATTTTTTTTTTTAAAGCTCAGAGTTCTCCACAGAATACAATAAATAGTTACCTAAACTGTTATTCTGGATTTTGTATTTCAAGGGGGGGAGGGGAATAAAAAAATAAAAAAAACAAAGCTAAAAACAAATAAAATAGAAAAACAAAAACAAAAACTATACAACCAATTTCAAGGTTATCATCATCAAAACGAAAGAGTTAATGACAATTCCAAGCAAAATACAAAGAAAGCGAACCTAATTGAACTCTGTACTTCTCTGGCACTCTGGTTTCTTAAGAACCTTCAAAAACAAAATAAAATACATATCTTCTCCATAAACAACAGCACCAATTCTGCATTTACCTAAGATATCTTATGTCCTATTTATTCTACCAAAAGTAGAGTGCTGATTAAAATCATTGCCGAGAATCTAGTAATTCCTCACATGCCAATTCCTGTATCATGTCTGTACTCTTGTCTCTTCAGTTATATAACTAGGCCTAGATAATAACAGATAATGAAATCTGTAAATAAACTCATATTCTTTCGCGCTTTCTATTCAATGAACTAACTCCTAAGCCAAGCCCACCCTCCCAAACCTATAATCACATCCACACATGCATATGTATGTGCGTACACATACATAAACACTGACACACAATCACCCAGTCAATCATTCACTCACTCACATGCTCACTTACTCACTCTTGCTCTCACATTCACTCTCTCAGTCTGTCTCTCACTTTCTCATTCTGTCTCTCACTCTCTCATTCTGTCTCTCACTCACACTCTCTCACCTGCACCTGCACAAGCACACATACTCACTCTCTCTCTTATACAATGCCCAAAAAGACGCAAAGTGATCCACACTCAAGATTAAATTGTGAGTAATATAATTACCCGATAGTTTAATTATCTAAAAATTTTCCTTCAATATCTCTATGGGAAAAATAGCTTCAAGTACAGTGAGGAGGATTTCCAAGTGTTTGGAGAGAAATACTTCTCCACCAGCCTCACATACAAATCATGTTGTCCAGCTACTACTCACATGTCATGAGGATTTCGAGGTGAAGACTGTGATTGGAGGATTCTGTGGGGGAACAACAACCAGTATCAATACAGAGCCGTGGGATGGTCCTATCTGACTCACCACACAAAAATTCATTTGTTCACATTACAGCACAATATCAAACTGAAACAATGTCAAGGGACTGTGGAATAGCTTTCTGACTGAATTGTGTGGCTGGAAAATGTTATAGCCTGAAGTATTCTTCAAGAAATCCAAAGTGCTATACATTTGTATTGTTTCAGATTAACACTGATTACTGATTTCAAATAAATGAGATCTCTAAAGTACTCTCTTTCAAAATAAAATGATAACCAGTGATTGCAACAATGAATAAACTGAAGCAAATACAATGTCCGCTTTCAGGTTTCATTCTTGTCACTGATGAAATAGGGTCCTTAATTTAATCTTATCCGAAAACATGTATCTATCACACTTTGTGCAAACTCTGATGAAGAGGATACCATCCATAGTTTCAGGACTAATATTTCTTTTCAGTATCGTTAATTTTGTATACTTGATTAGTCATGTAATTTGAAAACAATTATCCTCCAATATGCAAGTTGAATATATTCTACAAAGTTCTTCTACGAGAGAGTAGGAAAATGCGTAACGGGTTCTTAATATTAAAAGCAACTGTGGTACAGTTCCATTTCTAACTGATCAATTAACTGTAATCCTCCATCAAATAACTTTGGTGTACTTTGCTGGACAATTCCCTCCCTCACTAAAGGCACGACTCCTATTATTAATGACAAAAATTTTTGCCATGGCGCTGTATCATCATCACTATCATGTATCAATACTGTTCTTAATAACCAACTGTTAATAGGATAATAGCGTATGTGATGACTTAACAACAAAGCACAAGGGAAATAAGGCTTGATAAAACTGCAGAAAGCCAGTAAGCAAGCTGATAGTAATATGAGGAAGATATTAGCTTATGTCTGTGTGATGATGAACTGTAAAATCAAAGTATAATACTTTCTGTGGCATCACATGCAAATATTAATCTGTATGCATACTCAGGCAAATAGGTAAAGGTATATACAAGCACCAATAACAACTGTTTTTTAATGTAACTGTACTTTTTTCCCCATGCTGCTTTTCTTGATACTTCTTGTATAATGTGAGAGTGGTCTACAGGTTTCCTTTTATCATCAAATCAAACACTTCTTAAATGTTTGAGTAAAAAGAATATCTTGTCACAATGACTTCTTCAGCACTATATCACACTCATGATTACACATTCAAAAAATATGTCCTATTGAGCAAATGTGTGAGAAATATTCACCCGATGCCGCTAGGAATGGCACGTAGGTAGATTCGATTATTGTCTTCACAATTCGATGGCTCCACAAGTACTCACTTTAGATACCTATGAGTCAATTACTAGTACTACCTGCCTCATCTATTCACCCTCTCCCTCGATTTTTGGAAATATTTTCTTTTATCTTATGTTTTTGATAGAAATGTCAATAACATTGTAATAATAATAATAATAATAATAATAAATAGCATAACAATATTGGTAACATTAGCCAAAAAATTAATACTACATTTTCCCATCAGCATTCAGTTAATAACATAGTTGAGCATTAACATTTATATACACATCTTAATATAAAAACCTTCTCCCCTGCAGTATTGTCCACACAGTTCTTGCAATGACACACAGCAAACACAATGCCTAAAAAGACGCTTATCATCTAGTTAACACTTAGCTGATAGAAATATAAAATCCTTTTCATAACACCTACTTAAAATACTTAATTGAATCCCAAGGGGAATATAAGCAATTGCGAAGTTTTCACAGGAGTCCATATTTGAGGTGCATATACCAATCGCAAACAACACCAGGACAAACTCAAACGAACAGAAAAGTGAAGGGACTGTGAAGTTTTGTACATCCCTCACTGTCAGATGGTATATCTACATTACTAAAAAATATATAAATATATATACTGTTTCTTCCAATGATAGCAACTGGTGCAACACTAAGTCTTACAGTGACCTAAACCTCTTAAAGTGATGAATGCAATATATCTCATAATAACTACTTCTTCTAGGGAACTTGTAGGGAATTGCAGCCGATGGTGGAAGAAATGGCACGCTCTACAATAAATCAAAACAGTTCCAAACTACTATGTAAAATCATGGTAACAGGAACACTAACCCTTAGAAAGGAAACACTACATCCTGAGAAACCATCCTAATCAGCTTTTCTCCCTGTACATTCTTCCAGCTGTTTGCACTGACAACAAATCGTGATCACCTCTTGGGGAGAATATTCTATCAAACTGTGCTGCACAACAATGGCAAGCTGATGCGACTGATAATTCCATGAGTGGAAGCCGCAGCACAAGAACATGAATTACGAAGATCATCAACTTTTTGGGTAGTTACACAAACTCAAATTCTCCTAGATATTACTGTAAGTGATGTATTTGAGGATGGCTATGCAGCATCAAAACAGAGTATACTATTCTACTAAAAGGTAAGCCATACCAGCATAGGATATACTGTACTAACGATGGGTATGCTGCACCAAGAAGGGGTATGCTATACCAAAAAGAGTGTGATTTCTTGATGTGTCATTACTCAAAACTGAACCAGAAGGGAAAAAAAGGAAGAAAAACAATGTATTTAATCTTCACAAAAAACAAACCACCACATATACTTCCGCAATTTGCACAAAAAACAAAAGTAAATCTAATCAACAAGGAAACTATAAACAATGTGTGCAATCTTGGCAATCTAGAAAGTTATGAGTCATAGCAAACGATCAAAATGACCTGTTTAGGTCACCTTGTCCGAATACAGTTATTTCCTCAACGTTATGATTCAATCGTCAATTTACACCACAAATAAACTGATAACAAAAACCATACAAGGCTTAACCTTACCTACTCTACATAATATCCCCTTTCTCCCTCATCCAGTAATCTACAGCTTTAACATTCACTCATTCATATCACCAATGATACGACAGACATCACAGAAAACAGGAAAAAAATCAAGGAACAATTTCAAAATTATCTGCTATCCTTCTGAATGCATCCTCCTAATCATCATAACATTTTACATGTATTCAGCTTTTATTTTAGAGAGAAAATCAGCATTACTTGTGGTAATTTTGATATTCCCTGACTGTAGTAGTTATTGATAACTGTTAAAGACAAAGTTCTATGTAAAATATGCTTCCCGAAATTAAATAAATCAGAGATTTAAAAAACTAATTCAAAAGCCCCTCTCTGGGCTACAACATTGTGTTCTGCAGTATACATCTCAGGGCATCAAATAATGAAGAAAGCATCGTATATATTTATTTCGTGTATCAGCTCTTGATCGTTACATGCCTAACCCTGGGGCTTGCATATGAATTTTGATATACGAGTCAAGAGTCCCAGTTACAAATACTGCCTGCTGTGGTTACTGGGTTGTTCTTGCCTTCTATATCTCTCTTGGGAGGCCATTTATGGCTTTTAAACTAGATAAGCTGACTAAATCTCATTTGGCAAAGAACAAAATAAATATAAATCAAGATCATTCTTCTTTCATGGAAAGAAAATGTCACTATGTTAACAAACACGAACATTCTATAAAGAAGAAATTAAAAAAAGAAAGCAAGAAAACATGAAATTTTCCCAAAATCCCTAGTTCCAGGTCCCATTTTGTTCTACTTACCTTGATTGGTCCTCATTGTGAATTCGTTTGAGTTCCCTAATATGTAGATTTCTTTCCCTTTCTAATTTCTCCATCTCCTGCTGAAGGTCTGTGTCCTCTTTCTTGAGGGCAGTTTGCCGTAACTGTGGAGAGGTAAAGAAAAGTCTCATACAGTACACAGGACATAACAGATAATAATACTATGTAAATAAATATTAACATGGTTAGCATATTCCAAAATTTTACTTTTAACCCACTAACGCTGGTATATTTTAAAGCCGAAAATAATAGTTTCCGGGTGGCTACAAAATTGGTGTGAGGGGCTGACCCGAGACGCCCAGCAATGTTTATTTTTCTGGGTGTCTCATATATGGGACACCCGTCGTAAATTGGTTAAATTCATACATAGAATTCAAATTTATAGTAATTTTGTAAAAGATTTTCATAAATAAATATAATTAGGGTTACGAGTGAAAATTGTCATCCAACAAAAAGGTAATCCTTAGACTCTTAGAACATGTAGGGCACTCTCTGGATAGGCTGCGAGAATTGGGCAAAGTGTAAATTTGAAAGGAAAGAAGAATGAACAAGAATTACCACATACAATGGAGTAACAAGGAGTAAAAGGAAAGCAACTGCTGCTTGTTATAATGAGAAAGGAATTATCACTGCTTACGACCCCCAGCAGTAAGGTTTCTTGAAGTAACACTAAGAGCGTAGAATCACCTGGTAACAGGTAATTAGGTGCGGAAGGTGCCTTGGGTGAGGGGGTAGAATTCCAATTCTGTGGTGTATGAGCAACATCATGGGTAAATTAAAATACATGCAGTGTGATCAAGAGGACCTTTATAAATGACATCGTGACATGATGTCATTTCTTCACCCCGAATGGATTGCTCATACAATACATCCAAATTATAATGTAATTGAGAGCCATCATGATGTCATAACCTAGAGAGCTTAGGGGGGAGATGGTCAGTGTACAGGATAACCATGCCCAATAATTCTAGTATAAAAAATCAGCTAGTGACCAGTAATGCAGGGTTGTTGGTGTGCATCGTCAGTTCTCCTGTTTGTGCAGGGATTATTCAGGATTTAAGCACAACATTAGACACCTAATGACTTGTAACTGTAGTTTATAACCACAAGCTTGAAAGAAAGAGAGAGAGAGAGAGAAAAAAAAGGAATAGCTGAGGTCCGAATCAACCAGGGCACAAAAGAAGATCAAGCTCTCAAACACTTGGTCAAGTATTCTGGATCCTCGGTCCACTGACCCATTGAGATAAAATATTCAAATAGCATAAGCAATATTTACAGTAACTGATTTTCCAAAATACTTCAAAGAAAGAAAGAACAGAAAAGGGGGGAAAAAAAAAACACTAGATAGAATAAAAACACTAGAGAAGATCTTACCAAAGCCATGGCCAAATCTCCTTGACATACCTTTAGTATTTCTTCTGACTCGTAGTATTCCTGGATAGTGAGGTCCCTGTGGTCGTGATCGCCTCCGAGGCCATTCGGAAGATTACTGCCACCCTGACTCTGGTTACTATTTGATCCCCGTTTCCTAGAGTTGCTTCCTCCCTCTGAGGGTTTCCGCTTCATTAAGAGCTTCCGCTGCCGGTCGATCTCCTCCTTTTCTGACTGGAGTTCTTCCTGACGTCTGAAATGCCACCAAATGTTTGTTATTTCAAACCCATGCCTATGACATTTTTGTCAATATACACTTCCTTTCTGATAGTCATTTTTGGATAAAAAATTATAAAAATAAATTCATAATATATATATATATATATAATATAATATATATATATATATATAATATATATATATATAATATATATATATATATATATATATATATATATTATATTATAATATATGTATATTTATGGTAAATGCATTTTTGAATATTCATCTCGGACTCATGTAATAGTGCAGTGCAAATACACAAGAATTTTTTTTACAAACACTGTAAATATTCTCATCATAATCTTTACCATTATTCTCATATCCATGATTATTCCAGAAATTGTCATATATACAAAATAATCCTTTAGAAAGAGATTTTCCGTGATCAATAGTTGGAAAGAACTTAATTCTATATCTTACATAACTGAAATGATAAAAGAAAATGCAAAGCAAACCATTCTACTGATCACACTGTATGATACAACATTAACCAAGGAATTTGTTATTTGGTTATAACCAAAGTTTCTGTAATTACTATAAAAATTACATAATTCATGGTACTCTATTGCACAAAACAATTTCAAAACTAATTTACTTAATAATAATAATAATAATAAATCATCATCATCATCATCATCACTATCATCATCATCATCATACAAACAATAACAATAATGATAACGGTAATAATAATGATAATGATAATGATAATGATAATGACAATAAAAAGTAATGATAATAATAATAATAATAATAATAATAATAATAATAACAACAACAACAATAATAATAAATTACGATACCTTTCCCTTAGTTTCTCTGAGAACATACAAAATTCTCTTTGCATACACTACAAATATCAATTAAACTAACAATATCAATACTGTTATTACAATCAGCATATCAATTAAACTAACAATATCAATACTGTTAATACAATCAGCAGCAACCTGTTATGTCCAACATTTTCCTCATTAGATTCTAAGCACAGAGGTGAAGGATATTACAGCCTGCAGACCAGCAATCTATCCACATATATTCAACTACTGAGAGCAGAAAAAAGTACGAAGGAGAATGAATATCTTCACAGAGCAAGAAATGTCCTTGACCAGTTTTGCCTACATCTTTCATCAGGATTTCATGTATTTTTGATGAGGATGTAGTTAAAACTTTGCTCATTCAGACCTTTTTCTACATCTGTCTCAATGAATGCTGGTCATCTGTCTAATGAATGTGTAGGTTGCTTCTACTCTTGTAGGCTTAGCATAACATACAAATATAAAGCTGTACTAGAATATAGTCATTACAAACCTTGTACCTTAACTGCTACTGAGTACATAATGTTTTCAGAACTCTACTTATTTTCTACTATATATATTGATATGGGTTGCATGAAGATTAATAATCAAAGATGGTATTAGCCATGGCGTATATGTCCATGCCATCCTTGTGTAAAGAGGTTAACTTTTCCGTGCATGCTGCATCTTATGGGCAATAGTTGTGCACATAACAAACGTACCACTTGTTCAGGACACACCCAATCATCAGCAATATTACTTTGGTTGTTGATATCTAGTGTTCTAATTCAGTCATAAATCCTTATCATACTCAAAGCTATTAATATCAATATACAAAATCTAATGTACTATCAAGAAGATTATATAATATCACTATTAAACTAAGATCCCTGACAAAAGAAAATCTATAAACATAAATAAAAATTTTCCACATCAACACAAAATACCCAAAATCCGTTTTTCTTGGCTTTTCTTATTACCCAAAATTAAACAACATCTACAGAAACATCTGGGCTTCTTTAATGCACTAAAGAAGAAAACTCTCTCTCATGCTATTCACAAATCAACAAAACAAAATGAGAGAAAGCACTTGCCCAGAGTGACAGAGATATGTGACACAGTTAAAGTTAAAACTCCCTCTTACACACATTTCAAATTCTGTCTTGAACACCCAAAATATGTGTACCTTGTTGTTTAGGTTTGGACGGTTTTGAAGCCACACTCACGACACACCTTTATCCATAACTGTACATATGTATGCTAATATGTAAATAAACAAACATCTATCGCTATATATAAAATCCACCTATCCAGCTCTCTCTCTACTACCCTCTCTTTCTCTGTACATATACATCTTTTTATATATTAGATTCACTGATATGATGCAGATTACAAGCATTGTTTACAAATAACGGAACCAGACGAATAGCAGTTCTAAAACATTTCTTTATGCCCTAGTTTCTAAGTGTATCCATATATAACTGCAAGTAAATTTTTTTCTACCTTGAAGATAAAATATATACTTTTACTCCTATACTATAAAACATCTGCAGCATCTGTATCAAATCTGTATTACTCACAAAAATTAACAAAACAAGAAGAAAAACAAGAAAAATGCAAGAAAAATTGTGATTTGAGTAAAAAGAAAATCATAAACATATGCAAATAACATCAATAACCATATAGGAAACACCTGGATTCTGATCACATATAATTTCTAATGTAAACACTCACACATTTTGTATTCGTAAAGACCGTTCAAGCCAGGTATGTGGATTATCAGGTTTGCATTTCTGTTCATATGAATAAACCTATAACAACTAGTACAATTCAATGTTTTTTTGTTTGTTTCTTCAACACCTAAATGCAGTTTTAGCAAACAACAAAACAAGAACCAAACAAGATCAAACTGTACAAAACATTGTGAGAAAATAGAATCAACAGAGCAAAACTCATCTCGACTAACTCAGCTATTTTTCTACAGCCATTCAATGTAGTCTATGCAAAACTTCAGATATTGAGGCACCACTTATCGAGGAGGAGAGGAGGAGAGGAAGAGGAGGAGAGGAGGAGGGGAGGAGAGGAGGAGGAGGAGGAGGAGGAGAGGAGGAGGAGGAGGAGGAGGAGAGGAGGAGGAGGAAGAGGAGAGGAGAGAGAGGAGAGGAGAAGAGGAGAAGAGGCGGAGGAGGAGCAGCAGCAGGAGTAAAAGAAAGAAAAGGAAGGGGAAGAGGAGAAGGAGGAGGAGGACAAGAAACAATAATGAATTTAAGAAGATACTAAAATAAAATGAGGGAAAAAGCTGCCCTATCTCATTATGCTTCCAGAATGATTACAACTGATCTCAAAATAACTTCGGAAACGACCTCTGTCCTTGGCGTGTATGTTTCTACAAACAAAGTTCTTAATTCTCATTAATTTCTGTTTGAAGAATTTGCTTCAGGTTTTCACTTGCCTATAGAAAGAAAAATGAAGATCTGTTGAGGAAAACCTTCTGATACAGATTTCCGAAGTTCATTTATATCCTACTCTACCAAAAAAAGAGGAAAAAAAATTGACGCATTCATATATCACCTAACCTAAGTATATATTTTACGTCCATGTATAAAAATTGGGATGTTTATCTACAAAAATCAAGTAGAAATTCTTGCCCTAAAAAATTCCACTCAAATAATATAAAAACAGACAATATTCTTCCAAGAAGGTCACATCCTATTTTCCCTAGAAAAAAAATATATATCCTAAAGTACCACCAAGAAAATAATGACCTTTAAGAAGCTTGAAACTGACACAATAATCATAAATTGCCTGTCTGAAATTCATCATACCGTGTCCTAAAATTTTTGCAATTCTTTCCACCTAATGTTATCTTTTATGGCTGAAGTTACCAAGATAAATATTCATAGGCATAAATAATTACCGAATAATAAGAAGATGCAAAAACCGATAGTAATAACGGCAAAATTCAAATCAACATGACCAGATGTACCTAGATTAATAAAAAGGTTAATACATTTCTTAATAACGATTATGGCAATGCCCACACATTCTTTAAACAAATACAACGCCCTATAATCAAAAGAGAAACTAAGAATGTTAGTTATTTCAAATAATTTCTACCCTCTCCAAACTGTAAAGCCGGAAGGTGAAACAAGTCAAGAACGGTGGTGCACATCTATCTTGGCGAATAAATAGTATCCTCTGAAAATATTCCAATATAAACATAGCATACTGAAGTTACATCATTACATCATTCTACATTACTCAATGCGAGTATAAAACATGGCAGCCATCTGATATTAAATAGATATAGATACTGATTTTGACACTGAATACACTAACATGTTTTTCCTTTGTATCCATTACCTACATAATCCTATGTGGCAACTTAACTCTACTTGGACATTAAAATCCTCTATGTCAATGAATCGTTGCCATCAAAAATTTGATCATGATATGAATTCCAAATATTGGAAATGGATGTTCTTCATGATTTTATTAACCTCTTATATTCCTATGGATATATCATACCATAAAATTTTACTTTTAAAAGGGTAATTGGCATCTCACTCTCAGGTTTGCCAACACTTCCAAAATGACTTAACCCTTAGTTCTCACTCTAGAATCTGACTCCATTTTAACTGCATTTTACAAGACAAGATTACTGATCAGGCACTGAAATCTGCTGAAACTGAAAAATGCATAAGCTTAAAAATAAAACTTTCTTGACCATTATCTAAGTCATAATCATCCATATATTAGTTTTTACTAGTCATCATCAGGGTCATTGGTAGTATTATTATCAATATCAGTGACCATCATTACCATTATTGTTAAACTAGCTATTATATACTGCCAGGCACATCATATAATTTTTGTTTTCTTTTCTTCTTCTTTCCCTTTTTTGTATCTTGTACAAGTTTTTAAGAGAAGTTACAGTCCACCAACTCCTTTCAATAAAAAATCTATCAAAAGTCCATCTCTCTACCTACCAGATCAAAAGCTAAATGAGAGAGAGAGAGAGAGAGAGAGAGAGAGAGAGAGAGAGAGAGAGAGAGAGAGAGAGAGAGAGAGAGAGAGAGAGAGAGAGAGAGAGAGAGAGAGAGAGAGAGAGAGAGAGAGAGAGAGAGAGAGAGAGAGAGAGAGAGAGAGAGAGAGAGAGAGAGAGAGAGAGAGA